ATTATGTTTGAATCCCTTGCGGTAATTATCCAACTTAACTTCTTCGGGTCGCAGAAGTCCTTGATTTTTGTGCTTCGCACAAGGACACCAGAATTTATGCTCAAAACGATAGATTAGCAATTTTGATGCCACCTGCATGCATTTCTCAACTCCATTCAAAAACTCATATGTGAGTCATTTTCATCATGGATATAATATGTTATACATCAAAACTCTCAAATTATGGATATCCATATGCAACATAGGTGTAGTTTTACGGGTCAGTGCAACTTCTACGGAGATAAAAATTAATCAATACTTATATTAAGAAGGTGACACTACTTGGTCAACTGACCAACTGCATGTAACCAACTTGAATTCTACTAATAACAAACCAATCTATATCACCATCACTTTGAACAAGACCCCATGCACTCCTCTAATTCAACCAACCAACATTAATTCAACTGATAACATCTTTATCTATATCACGCTCACTTCGAATATTTGACTAATCAATACATTCCTCCAATTCAACCAACCAACATCAATTCTACTAATAACATTCCCATCTATATCACCATCATTTTGAACAATAGTCTCGATCGTGACATTCCTTCACTTTAACCAATCAACATGAATTCTAGTAATATCATCGCGTTCTATATCACAATCAATTTGAACAATACCCGATGCATATATCGCTTCACTTCAAGCAAACAACATGAATTCTACTAATAGGTAAATACATACCACTCAATACTTATGTATTTACATAGCTAACCCCTACGCTTCAAGTTTTATGAAGATTTCTTACATACCACTCAATATTTATGTATGCACATTACCTAAGCTTCATTTTTATGAAGATATTCATACATACCACTAAATTCTTATGTATATACATACCTAACACCTAAACTTCAACTTTTACATACATACCACATTACGTACATACCACATACCAACAACTAAACTTCAAATTTTACATACATACCACATTCACATAACTAAACAAAAATTTAAATGACAAATTTAAAGACACAAATGGAATTACCTTTGTAAATATTTTCTGACTGGAGCAAAACAGAAGGATGAGAACTGCGAGACTTTTGATGGTCTCTGTAAGCTGAGTACCGTCGTTACCTTCCAAGCTAAGTTAGCTACTAGTGGCAACTGTATCGAGAATTGTCGTTTGGGAAGGCGTTGGTTTTGAGCGAAGCCGTGAGGGAGAGCGGGAAAGGGACGAGGGAAAGTGGAGAGTGAGGGATTCAAGCAGACAGGAGGATGGCAGAGCGTAGAGAGGAAATGAATAAAATTTAGGCGCGCGCGGGATGAGAATATTAGGTCATCTGCATCAGATTTACGTTGCAATGAGTTTGATGCTAACAAGTAAAGCTTTTGTGTCGATTAGTTCGATGCATAATCAGTCGCTACTCTAAAAAAAGTTTCGCCGTTATCAGAATGCTTTTTCATCAAATTTTTAGACACAAATCAGATGCAAAATTTGACGCAATTATCAAATTTTATTATTCACGAATTAAAACCCACAAATCCGACACTAATATTTGCGTCGGAGGATTCCGACGCAAATTTCATGCCTAAGTTTAAAAACCATACAATTCCTACATGCTTATATATCAAACACCAAAACATTCATATTTACAAAAGTACCACCCAACTCTTCAACATCACAACATAAAATATTATCACCACTAACTTCTTAAAATTAAAATACATTTTTTTTAATACATAGACATTTATTCCACAAAAATGTTCTTAATATAAATATCAAATTATAGATGTTGGATATATTCGTAAATTCATAAGAAATGTATGGTACGTACGTGAATTTCCAAAAATAATCAGAAATTGGTATTGCTTTAAAAAATTAAGGGTGGCGTTTGGGACAGGTTGTGCATTTTAGGATAAACAGTTTATCCTGAAACTAAAATCACCGGGTCGACAGTGGGGTTCGACCCACGGTCTGCATTTGGTGTAAAAATGGAACTGCGTTTTCGGATAAACGGGCAAAATGCGCGATCCAATTAGTACCGCGATATTTTTTAAAAATGCCCCCGCACTTATAAGCTACCCCAAAAGGGCCCTAAGTGACAATTGAGAAGTGAAATTAAGTATTAGATATTTATGTATGAAAATTATAAATGGAATGTACGAAACTTTCTTTTTTTGATACAATATTAAACAATTTTTACTAATATATATGTGAGGATTAAATAGCATGATAAAATATAATTTTGCACATTATATACGCATCTGCATAGATCTCGAGGAAATCCAACCGAAAAAAGTATGGACGGGTATGGCTACAGAGAGCCCACAAATAGAAAACCACTAGCACACAGGTAGAAGACGAAGGGTCCTTCATCGAAAGGCTAAGCATTGACAAGCAGAATGCCGAAAGACATGTTTGGTTAGGTGCAATCCGCTAAACCGGGGGGTTGGAGGCTGAACAAGCGAAGATCGTCTAAAACAAAGACTAAAGCCTAACAAGTCGAAAAGATGCTTTGATTCGTCTCTCGTCACAACTCGACTCATGGGAAGAATTCAGCTTCGCCAGTTATCCCAAAGACGCCCTTAAGATTTCTTACTAGATTTGGAGACCTAGCAATCACGAAACCATACGAAGCATCGTCAGAGTGTATGTTATCTATCAGAATACGATTATTCGCCCTCTAATTGAAAACAGGGTATGTATAGAAACGTAAGAATAGCTGTTATAATGTTCCAAATATATGGGCTTCAATTGAGTTTTCATTATACTTAATGTGCCGAAACTATACCGAAACCAGACAATGGGCCATTTACATACATACCACCCAATTCCTATGCATTTACATTTCTAACACCTAAATTTTATTTTTTTTTATATTTATTACGCTCTAATCTTTAATATACATACAAAATATCACTGTTTTAACTCTTAGAAAGTGAATAATACACCTTCTTTAAGTGACATGTATATGTAAAAACTGAAGGTTAGATGATATATATATAAATACAAGTGGTATATTTGAAATAATTCGATATATATTTATATAGCCAACTGTCATAGGAAACCCCATACAAGAAAGATCTTGTTCCTTGGCATCTCTCATTCCATAGACATCCATAGGCTCCTCATCAGGACTCAAAGATAGATAGGCGGACCATGTCAACCGGCCGGCCCATATCAACCAAACTTAATTGATCGAGCTAATCCCATCTAGCCAAGGATATCTCAGCAGACCAAGCTGATCTTGTTGTGACCCGAACCTAATTAAGCTTAACTAGTCGAACTAGAGAGCTGCAGGACAATAAGCTCATGAATATAAAATACCAAAAATATTCTAGTAAAGTAACCCCTTAAAGCAGGGGCAAAAATGTAATATCATTGTATTAAACCCTCTTCTTTATAAATAGAGAAATCATTTTATAAATATGACACAATTGATAAAAAATTTTCCGCTCATTCCTCTCTCTCCTTACTTACACTCTATTACTTAGGTGCGTCGGCATAAGGCTTCTCATTTCCAGTCAACGGTCCTTCTCCGAGAATGCGAAGAACGATTGAATGCTGAGGAAAAGCAAATCATTTTATAAATATGACACAATTGATAAAAAAATTTTCTGCTCATTCCTCTCTCTCCTTACTTACACTCTATTAGCAACAACCAAGGAGAGGGCAGAGGCAGCGGAAGAATAGGTGGCGGCAGCCAAACGAAGAACTCAAGCAATCAAAGTCGCTCTCAATCACAGTAGATCAGGAATATCGAGCCATGCAGAAGAAAGTAGCCACAGTAAAGTTGTTTGATGATTTTCTTGTTGAGCTCTCCTTCCACTAGCGTCACGTGGAACTCCATGTTGTGAAGCTCAAGAAAGGGGTTTCCTTCGGCGTCAACCGAATGGTGAAGGCGAAGTTGGTCTCTCCTGAGTGCACCGATATGTTGAAGTTTGCTACTCTGTTTTCGAACTTGAAGGAGGCTCCGAATGAAGTAGAAACAATGAGGACGATGGAGGGTCGTCAAATGTATTACTCTCCTTCGATTTTTTCTTGTACTAAGAATAAATTTCTTTTTTTTCTTTTGAACATTTCGTACAGAGATAGAAAACTTGGTGAGTTTTTCAATTATAAATGAAAGTAAGGATCTTGGTCGGTTTCATCTTCGTTTTTACTTTCTACCCTTTGTGGTGTATTTAATTTTTCTTTTGTGTTTGCTTAAGTTGACTATTATGAAATTCTATTATTCGAGGTGTGGGTATGCTGTTTTTTTTTTTACTTCTTTCCCCCCTTTCTTCTTGGAATTGGACAAGAGTGAGCTTATAAAGATTTGAGGATAGAAGAACTTCGATCAGACATTGTGCTTGCTCTCTCAGTGCAAGACTATATAGTTCATGGTTCGGTGCGGAGGGGGAGTCACTGGTTCCACAGTTTGTTGACGTGTTTTTAACTTTGGAGGAAAATAAGGTGAATTTGAATATTTTAGTACCGACCAACCCAAACCCTGTAAGTAATCAGTCGAAGGATGCCGATAAATCTCAGTCATCGGTGGGAGCATCTTTTATCCACCGAAGGACCCTCTCAAATTGTGTTGCTGATTTATTATCGGAATTGGTCACCACACGTCGGGAGCTTGCAAGAAAAAAAGAAGTTTTATTTTTTATTGCCAAAAGATTGGGATCCAGCAAAGCTTCAATACATGCTAAAGCCGCAGTGACACTCGAAGTGCGCCGAGGCTTGAACATCTTGATGACGAGTTGTTCATTTTTAGTGGAATATTTGTCTTGTAGAGACTTCATTGACGTGTGGTGACCAATTCCAAGGCAACAGATCATAACAACAGTTATTTAATACACATCATTACCAACAAATTCCCTCCACCATCCCCCAGCTTCATAAGGAGTATTTATCAAAATTTATTTTTCATACATTATATAAACATTTTTCTTCAATTTTAGAAAACACATATCCTATTGAATTCATATTTATTAGTCCTTAAAAATCATATTTATCAGCCTCACCAAACTACTCCCTCTCTAAATCCACCATTATATGATCGGCTCGCCTTTCTCCCCTCTCCATGCTCAATCTTCTGCAAAAAGATGACCTCATAATCAACATGGAACGCGCATCTCTGACTGTCACCCCCGCCATTATCAACTCTTCTCCTCTCGCTCCACCAACCCTTGCCGGCATCGTCGGCGAAGCCAATAATTGACAATCACTCTTCACATCCGCTCGACATATGGGGCACGTCGAATGCTCATGCAACCACATGTCAATACACTTCACATGAAAGTAATGCTTACAATTCGACAACATTTTCATCTTCTCCCCTTCCACAACCTCACTCAAGCAGATAATACACTCGCTTTCACCAACATCATTATTGTTGCCCGAACAATAAACAAAAGTTGGAAGCGAAGCGACAGCTCTAGCATCCAGTCGAGGGGTGTGCGGAGTAAGTGTGACATTTGCATGGCGGCGGCGGAGATAGTCGGAGAAAAAACGAGCGATGAGAACAATGACGACGATGATAACAAGTGAGAGGAGGAAAGTGAGGAGGAGAAACCAGTTGTTATGGTGCATGGTGGATTGATTCCTTCCCATGATTATCCATGTGGATGTTCTGCTCCTAGGAATGGAGTAAGAAGCCATGGAAATGATAGAATTAGCTCAGTTGCTGATGGCTTTGGATAAATTATATTTGCATTTCTCCCCCTGTTTGGAGAACACTGCAATTTATATGAAATTGTTGTTTTGGAATTTAGCAGCAGAACTTCTTTGTTATTTCTGATGTCGTGTTGGAAGACTTGGGAAAGAATGGAGTCAACGCGGGACATTATTATGCACAACGTGTAACACTGTAAATGATGCAGAAAGGCCGATTGAGATGTACTAAAATGGGTTATTTGCATATAGCACCTCAACTATTTCTATTTACAAAACCGAACATCTTCTTTCGTACATTTTTCAAATTCTCACTCAAATGTCGAAATTCATGATAAAATCCCAATACATATTTTTCTTTTTTATTAGATTCAGAATGATTTGATCGTGACATACGTAAATACAACAGTTCGACAGTTCAAAAATAGCATCTGAATGTTAAATTTTTGTAAATTGCAGTGCTTCAGGTGCTATGTATGTAATTATCCCGAATATTTTTAGAAGTTTTACATACATGCGAATCAATTCTTGAGGTTCTACATAAATGCTATTTTTAATGTGATAATTTTTTAAAAATTAAAATGATGATATTTTTAATATGATACGAAAGATTTGTGTGGTATAAATGTAAAAATTGAAGTTCAGAGGTTAGATATGTAAATACTTAAGAATGGGGTGCTTTGCGTGTTTCTGCATGACCATTGACGGCCGTGTAAAATGCATTTTGCACAAGATGCGTTTACTTAGAAACGGGGAGAAAAAGCAGGTCGTTTTTCAGTCAAAGTGGCATATTTTCGTTAAGGAAAATTTACATGAAAACCATGCAACTTCTTTGAATTTACATGTGGAACACTTATAAGTTCAGTTTGATATTTGCATTTAAGAAAATTTACTTCCATAGCACAAAATTCTTATGCTTTTATATATTTTATGTGTAAACTTTCATATTTACATATATATATCACTTGGTTGTTTTAAACTTACGCATGAAAATGTAGATTTCACCATTAAAAAAATGATAATAGTGCTATGTTTGATGTGATGTTAAGGATTTCAGAGATCTGATTTTGCCATTAAAAAAATGATAATAGTGCTATGTTTGATGTGATGTTAAGGATTTGAGTGATCTGTGTGTAAATATGAATGTTTGGTTTGTGAGATATTTTGATATGATAAGAATTATGTGCTTGTTATGTATGTAATGTTGTGAAGTGGAGTCTAAAGCACCCAGAGGGACACAGTCACATGAAACACCCGATGGAGCAGAACTTGTGCGCATCCAAATAGGCGTTGTTACACCCGTGTTTGGAGTATCCACGCCTAAGACGGGCATAGCTAAGTCAGGTGGTGAGACTATTTCGTATCTGGTCGTGGTTACGCCACAGCCCTTTGAGTTTTGTGCAATCGAGCAATCAAGATAAGCAATATATGGGGAAATATTAAAACTAATTACTCTCAATTTTATAATTAGCTATAATTTTTTTTTAAAAAAAAACGTCAAAGCGTGATGAATTTTTACCCACCAACATATTTTTTGAAGCTTTTCTATAAAATAAAAATATTAAATCAAAATAAATTCAAATTATAATAAAATTAATTAGTTTCTTTCAACACACAGCCCTTTGAGTTTTGTGCAATCGAGCAATCAAGATAAGCAATATATGGGGAAATATTAAAACTAATTACTCTCAATTTTATAATTAGCTATAATTTTTTTTTAAAAAAAAACGTCAAAGCGTGATGAATTTTTACCCACCAACATATTTTTTGAAGCTTTTCTATAAAATAAAAATATTAAATCAAAATAAATTCAAATTATAATAAAATTAATTAGTTTCTTTCAACACACAGCCCTTTGAGTTTTGTGCAATCGAGCAATCAAGATAAGCAATATATGGGGAAATATTAAAACTAATTACTCTCAATTTTATAATTAGCTATAATTTTTTTTTAAAAAAAAACGTCAAAGCGTGATGAATTTTTACCCACCAACATATTTTTTGAAGCTTTTCTATAAAATAAAAATATTAAATCAAAATAAATTCAAATTATAATAAAATTAATTAGTTTCTTTCAATACAACTTTCCAAATTAATTTAATTAGCTTCTCAGGCAGATATTTAATAAAACATTTACAAAATTGGTCCCGGCGGGGCTCGAACCCGCGACCTCCGGCTCATAAGACCAGCGCTCTAACCAACTGAGCTACGGAGCCAGAACAAAGTGAATTCTTTCAATCTTTTTATATAAATAAAAGCACACAACATCAAAAATACCATTAAACTCCTGAGCTTTATTTTTTTACATTTATGCCACTCAAATCCTTCATATCACATCAAAAATATCATTTCTTAGATCGTTAAAAAGTAAAATACACATTTTCATGCTAAAAGAAGATGACATAATGTAAAAATTGAAATGTAGGACTGAGATTCGTAAATAAATAAGAATTGTGTGCTATGCATATAAATCTTTCTGACAATTATCCTAATAATTTTTAAATATTGCTCAAACTCTTATTGTCTTTTATCTTATAGCTACATGATTATGGTTGTTAAAAGGACTCTTTGCTCGTGAACAGCTCGTTAAGCAAACCCGCCAAAAATTTTTTTATAATTAGCTATAAATTTTTTTTTTAAAAACGTCAAAGCGTGATGAATTTTTTCCCAGCAACATATTTTTTGAAAATTTTCTAAAAATAAAAATATTAAACCAAAATAAATTTTTATTATAATAAAATTAATTAGTTGCTTTCAATATTACTTTTCCAATTTAATTTAGTTATCTTCTCAGGCAGATATTTTATAAAACATTTACAAAATTGGTCCCGGCGGGGCTCGAACCCGCGACCTCCGGCTCATAAGACCAGCGCTCTAACCAACTGAGCTACGGGGCCAGAACAAATTGATTTATTTCAATGTTTTTATATAAAGAAAAGCACACAACACAAATGTTCTATCCTTTAACATATCTAACACCTGAGCTTTATTTTTTTACATTTATGCCACCCAAATCCTTCATATCACATCAAAAATATCAATTCTTAGATCGTTAAAAAGTAAAATACACATTTTCATGCTAAAAGAAGATGACATGATGTAAAATTAAAATGTAGGACTGGGATTCGTAAATAAATAAGAATTGAGTGTCATGCATGTAAATCTTTTTGACATTTATCCTGCTAATAAAAGTAGGAGAAATTATTACATAAGTACACCGCATGCAGAAATGTCTGTGCTATCTGATCTACACTATTGATTACAGGTCTCTACCGTCGATCATAATAAAAAAAATAAAAAACAAAAAACGGGACCCACCGAAATACATCTTTGTGGTGATTGACGGTGTAGATTTGACACCACATGCTGCATCTCTGCATGCTGTGTCCGCATGGAATACTTTTCCTAAAAGTAGGGCCTCTTTCTTATTGGAAAATGATAAAATTAAATTGTAATTTGTGACAAAAATCAGATTGTATGATGAGATTTTTGTAGTACAAATTTATGAAAAATATAATATGACATATATGTAATAAATTTTTTAGTGGCTGCAAATGTTTAGACAGAAATAGATCATCCAATGGCTACCCCTAAGTTAAAATGTTGGGGCTTGTACGCATCTTATATTTTTTTAAATGAACAAATATCATATATCTTACTAGGCTTATATTTTTAAAAGTTTTAGATGAATTGAGAATGTGTATATTTTAGCCTTAATTGAGCCTTCTAATAAAAAATTCAGATGTTTGCTACATAATCTCTGGTAAATTCTTGATAAATGAGATAAATCTTTGATGATTCTTCTATTTACTATGAACTGCTGAATAAATAGTCTGACAAGCTCGTTGAAGGTGATGAAGTGCCTGAGGAGGGAGTTGAACCAGCTGAGAGCTTGACCCTTGAGAGTGACAGAGAACACCTGACAGAGAAGTGTATCAGATGCACATTAAATGTGCATGATGGTTTGATAGTAGTCAACGTGTTCGTAGAGTCAGTTTTCACTTCATAGGAATCAATATTCAGGAGCTTAAAACCCACTATGATGTGGTATTGGAGGACCAACTCAGCCAAGAGTGAATACTATTGAAAATTGCAACGATCAGAAAGTGATCCCTATCTTTTAGAGGAAAATATCCTAGAACTAGACATAGTAGCTCATCGCAAATCAAGTTTTCTGAAGCAGCAGTATATGTTGTTGGGAAGAGTTTCCCTTAAGCGTCAGAGGGTTACCGACCGATCTAGCCATGCAAGAATGATGAGTGGAACTTGCAAAATCGAGGAGGTCTGAGTCCTGCAGAGGAAAGGTTTCATCGCAAGAAGGTAAACCGACACAGAGTGTGCTCAGGTGTGATATTTACCATGAGTTGTTGAACTGGTTGTACAAGAATCTATCGTTGAGCCTCATGTAAGAGCTAAAAGACACCTACCATGCATGTTTTTTTAGTATGGTAGGAATGTCAAATACTTCTCATACCTCCCCACCCAAGGAGGCGATGTCAGAGTACTGTCAAAATTATGATTGAAAAATTGAACAAATAATAAATTAAAATTAATCAAAACATAAAAAAAAAGATTGAAAGGCTTTTTTTGCAAAATCAATATTAAAAAAGAGGATTTCAAAAAAAAAAAAAAAAATTGAACACTAAATAAAACCTATACGGAACTTGATAGCTCACATACGAGCACGAACGCAGCGTGTAGTGAAATTTGCAGCTCGCTCACAAAATCAAATAGAGCCTTTTACGATGAGCAAATAACCCACGTCCTTCAAAACTTTAAAGAAAATAAGCTTAAACGATGGATGTGGGGTCATTCTCAATGAATAACAATTATATAAAAATGGAAATATTGATATTATTCAATACTTAAAAAAATCCCTATTTGTCTCCAATTCATCACTAAACCCACAACCCTCAATAAGAGTGGATAGAAAGTCATCTTTTATGATTTGTGTAAAAGCCTCAATTAATGGGCGGGCATCTACACTAAATCATTCATACTTTTACAAATAAGGCCGCATGTGCTCCGACCATGGTGATACAAGCATGATCATGCGGTCTAAAAATGCTGGGGAGCATGAGCTGACTATGAATATTAAAAATTGTTAAATGTTGATATTCATTTCTCCATGCTTTGAGATATGTGCAAATGATTATAAATTACCTAATTACTTTGAAGATCTCAAACTTATTCTAAAAATCCAAGATTCAAATTTAAATTGTGCACGCAAATGATTGGGTCGTTTTGTCTATAGGGCACGATAGTAAGTCTCACTGGACCTGTTCGATTCTCCTGCTAAGAAGGATTGAAGTTAATGAAATTGGATGCTTCCTAGTTAGTATGATCTTTCTTTGTGTAGGAATTGAAGCTAACAAGACTAACTAATAATTAAATATAAATCTCATCTAAGAAATGGGGGATATTCTATCTTCTTATTCATGAAATTATCAGGTATGAACCCGATTCTCTGTAAGTATGATATAATTGACAATATTCAAATTACAAAAAATCAAATTCTTTGATGATGAACGAGTTGATAAAAAATTTCAACATAAGGGGTTAACTTTCAAAATTAAGCTTTAAAGTTAAAAAAAACCTTATTGAAATTCAACTATCTAAATTTCTAAACACGATCATCTAAAAATATGACAGAGTTGACAAGGTTCAAATTAAACAATCAAATTCCCCAATGATGCTTGAGTTGATAGAAGATTTCAACCATAAGGGTTAATGTTCAAAATTAAGCTTCAAAGTCCAATGGCATTTCATACAAATTCTGAGCCTATTCCTCTGTACGTGGGGCAGAGTCAACAAGATTCAATCAAAAAAATCAAATTTCTTGATGATAATTCAGTAGGATAGAGATTTCAAACAAATGGATCAATTTTCAAAATAAAGCTTAAAAATTAATTTGAAATTGATTATTTCAGTGCCTGTTCCTGCATATGATCCTCTGTAAGTAGAACGGAGTTCACAAGGTCAAATTCAATTATGTGTCATCTGACCCTTTACAAGCAAGACGTGAAGTTGATAGGGTTCAAATAGTAAAATTATTAAAGTTAAAAAAACATAAAAATATTAAAATATTAAAATAAAATTTGCTAAAAATTATAAGTAAAAATCTATCAACCTATCATACAAATTTATCAAGGGCGATAAATTTATGATTGACCTAAGATCACATAAATTCAATGTGAAGTCATATATACTACTACATTTACTCTCAAATAAATATATGCTATTAATGATGTGCCAAGTGTCATTTGTACGCGTGACTAGGCTAATCGGCTTTACAAAGACGTGGTTAAGTCCTGAGCCCTCTGATCGAATGGTTGCCACCAAATAACACCACTAAATTATGGTCAATGTCATATCACATATGTTCCCTAATTGTTCTAAACTCTTTGAGACATGAATCATGTGGTATATTTGATATGTCACAAGTCTTATATTAGCCAAGGTCGACTCAAATTAGTCCCCTTAGACAAAATTCAACTTAGATTTATAAGACCCCCCTTGGACAAAGCAACCCTTGTCTGCTGACAATGATCATTTGATCAAGCTGGGTTGACGATCTTCTCTGATTAAGTAGATCAGGGTTTACGAAAACCCAGGATGAAGGAACCATTTGATGTTGATTGAGGGTGTCATCATTCCTCAACAATACATTTTTAAGCTCATAGTAATAAATTTCTATAATTTAAAATTCAATAAACTTTCACAACTCAAATACAAAATTACTGCTAGTATACACAGAATAATCAGTGTCTGAATAGTCTTAGTTAAAATTAGTCTTCTATTATCAGAATGAGTAATTAACTATAGGGGCTTGTGCCTACGAGATCCTCGAATCTCAAATCAAAAAAATCCTCACAAAATGGGGATGAAATCTCTAGTAAGAGCTAAATCCCAATTTTTAAAATCTTTAATTAGCTCTTTGGGGGGAATATAATTTTATCATGCAATGCACCAACGCTAGGGTAAAAAAAAAATGAAGATTCTCAATCTTATGTTGCTTGATTAGAGTAAGAGTATTGCTTCCCAAACCCAAACTTAATAGGCAAAGAGTAGTATAATGTTCAATTTAGAGCATAAAGAGATATTATAAAAGAAATATCTAAACCTTGTGATGGAAGAAAAATTGGCATGCACGTCATAAATCATCCATTCAATGATTCTTAAAAACATGATTTTGATCACTGAGATGGAACCCAAGTTTTTTCCATGATGTTTCTTTTAAAACTCAAATACAAAAATTTTAGAGTACACAAATTTAATATATATATATATATATATATGCCCAAATATTTTAAAGAATCGTGTCATAAATTTCGCTGGGTATCGCTTACCTACCGTAATCAATGCCCAAATATTTTAAAGAATCGTGTCATAAATTTTTGGACAAAAATTTTTCGCTGGGTGTTGCTTACCTACCGTAACCCTACACATTTTGCTTCCAGGACTTGGTACCCGACAATGGTATTGTTTATGGCGCAGAATGCTGGTCAAATGGGAATGCTTATGTTGATGAGTGGCTTGACACTTAGAGAGGCAAAATGTGAAACGAATGTATATGTGACAGGATTAGTGTAGCTTCAATGACATATAAGATTATGGATGATTCGATTAGGAGAATAGATGTTTTACATTAGACTTACGTTAAAAAAGGTAGAGGTAGACTTAAAAAGACTTGGACATTTTGGATAAAAAATGAGCTTAATTTATTAGAATTAAATGAAATATAACACAATGGAGAAAAAGGATTGATGTAGCCAACCCACTTAGTGGGATAAAGACTTAATGTTGTTGATTTTGTTGTTATTCTTGATCCAAACATTTCAGTTATTAAAGAAATTGTTTTGGGGGGCATTTTAGTGCACACAACAAAATTATGATTTATTCAAATATCAGTGCCTAAACTTTCATATCTACATGCATAATAACACTTAAATTTTTAATATTACATAAAAAATCACTATATTAATTTTGTAAGAATGAAATATACATTTTGTGCATTGAAGCCTTATAAATGTAATATGAAACCTTTGTCCATAAATACATAGAAATTATGTGGTATTTATGCAAATCTCCCCTTTTTCAAACACCCGAAGCCATGGCCGTCCTTGCAATAACAAAAATAGGAAACAAGTTGTGAGATAAAGAAAGACAATTTTTTAGAAAAAGACCATTCTTTTCATCATTAGCATGAAAACTACACAACACAATACATAAAGTAAACAACTTGTGAGAAAAAGACAGTTTTTTCCCATCATGAAAACTACATTCAGATTCTACAGATCCTGTCTTGCTGTTCGAACTTTCAGCTTTCTTCAGCTCCTAAGCCTTCACATAAATCACCCCAAAGCTCCACAAGGCAAAAAAAAGGGTGAAAAAAACTTCATTTTTGAAGAAAGATGACGAACCTTAATGAAAAAACAAAAAAAAAAACTGACAATTACTACACAAGAAACATAGAAACTACACCAAATCCAACAAACAAGCTCTAAAGATCAAGCCTTTCACTTAAAGCTTTCATCTTGCTTCATCTCCGGCCTAAAACCAGACACAAAAATCAGTTCAAAGATCCAAAAACCAAAAAAGCTTCATCTTTGAAATATAAAAGATCACAAAACTTGCAGGAGAAATAACAATTGCAAGCAAAGCAAGAAGCGGAATACTCACTAGTGATACGAACTAGAGGAACGAGAAGACAGCGTATGTGACATACTGTCAAGCTCTTCTTCTCCTTGAATCCTAGCAGGGATGCGAAAACCTGAAAATCCAACAGAGGAAGACGATGGATTGAGCATTTCCTGATCCATAGTCTCCATCCATGGACGAAACAAGGGTAAGTTACTGGACTGAAGGGGTTCCCTCTGTGCAAAAATCTGAGCAGGGCTAAACACCATAGCGTTCCTTGAAGCCATTCTCTGGTTCTGCTCTGATAATCCCACAGAATTACAGTTATCGAAAAAAACAGGGTTTTGATTGCTAAAGATGTCATCTTGGAAGGATTGGAGAGAAAGGTGGAGATCCTGCGAGCTATTTGGTGGTGCATCGAAGGTAAAGGAAGCAGAACCAGAGTCTTCAGCCGCAGGTACGGGATTTCTTATAGAAGCAGGACCGAGCTCATCAATGGCAGATTTTGCGTTCTTTATAAGCCAGTCCACTGCTTTGCTTGGACGATCATAGCCGAGTCTGTCTTGCACGTCGTAGAATTGAATGGCGGTGTGAGCGCTAAGACGAACACGGCGATCTCTCGGACCTTTTGCAGTGCATACTTTACTGTGTCGATCTTTGCGACCGGTGGAGCGGACCTCCAAGATCTCGCCGGAGGATTTCATTCCGGCGAGCAAGTGCGGTGGCGGAGGGAGGATGAGATGGTCATAGTCGGAGGGAAAGGAAGCGGTTGGTCATAGTCGGAGGGGATGGCCGGCGGCGGGGGAGAAAAGAAGGGTCTTTTATGGGAATCCAGATCAAGGAGCAGAGCGGCGAAGGGGATCCACTTCTGTTGGAGGTGGAGAATCATGAAGATTGAAGAAGCCATTGAAAGATGACGACATGATAAAAGTTGATGGCTTTCTGCAGTTTTTTGCACAGATTTTCGACGAAAAGGAAAGATGTGGATAAGGTTTTGGAGATTAAAGGCGGATCGGGTCTCTGGAAATTAGCACCGAATTCCAAGAAGGAGAGAAGGAAGCAGGCGGAGCAGCTCAGGGCCTAATCAACCATCGTGCAAACGAGAAAAAATTGTATTTCGGGGTATAAGGAGGGTACAGTGATATAGGGCTGTCAAACAGGCTCTCGTTTCGCGAATAGCTTCTGTTTATATATATATATATATATATATATTAAGTAGTATTTTAAAAAATCTAATTGGCTATAAGGATTTATAATCAATTAAAATATTGATTAAGAAAATAGAATAAAAATTATTAAAATAGATTCAAATGATGTTTTAATATAAATAATAATTTTTAAATCTTGCCCAAACCCTTATTGTTTTATGTCTTATGACTACATGATTCGGGCTGTTAAAATGAGTGAACGCTCGTGTTCGGCTCGTTAAGCAAACAAGTCGAACACGAACACACTTTTTGAGTCGTTTACACCCCTACAGGGATAATAACATGAATATAACACAGATATAACCTCTATATAACTTTCTTTTAACCCCTATGACTGAAATGTAACCAGCCCTGCGTACTTATTACGTACACAAATTTTTCCCCACGAAGAAAGCTTTAGCAGGGTTTTTTTTTTCTTTTTTCTAAATATTAAAAAATGGATAACATTTTGATAAAAAGGGCATTTACATTTATACCCACACTTTTTATGTATTTATACGGCTAACATAATTTTTTTATTTATCTAAATAGCACTTTAATATCTTAATCTATTAAAATTAAAAAAAAGGACACTCAATAGGATGTAATGGAGAAGAAGAATTCATATAAGTTTTTTTTTTCTTTTTTCTAAATATTAAAAAATGGGTAACATTTTGATAAAAGGGCATTTACGTTTATACCCACAATTTTTATGTATTTATATGGTTAACATAATTTTTTTAGTTATCTAAATAGCACTTTAATATCTTAATTTATTAAAATTAAAAAAAAAAAAAGGACACTCAATAGGATGCAATGGAGAAGAAGAATTCATATAACAGACCTTACTTAGTGGGGGTAAAGACTTGTTATTGTTGTATACAAATAACACTTAATTATGATAGAATATTGCTATTACTAATATTTTAAATATTTTCATATATAAGTTTATACACTATTGTTTATCAATATAAATAATCAAAATTTAGATTTAGATATATAAATGCATATTAATTGTGTGGAATGCTTAGGTTTAATTTTCTCTTTGCTAAAATTTGTCTGTGATTTTTATGAATTAATTTTATTAAGAGTTTTGTGTGTCGGAAGATTCGCGAACGTGTAATGATAATTTAACATTTTAGCATTGTATGAATATCCATCACATGCATAGGAAAAAAGAAAAATAGCATGAGGTGACACCATAATTTTTAAGTGGAAAAAACTTAGAAGGAAAAAAAAATACAAGGCTTAACCCAATCAAATTAATCAGTTATGTAATTGTAAGTATATAAGTGTGTTATTCTCATGAATTAAAGAATAGGAAATTACAGAGGTTAGAGTCATAGATGTAAAATAATGATGTAGCTATAATTGTCATTGGGCTATAATAACTGTAGTCCTTGGCTAAAATAGTGATAGTTGGCCACAAAGACTTAGGTGATAGTTATTTTAGTAATTGATCACATATGTCATAGTTAGAAGTTGTAATAGAAATAGTTTGCCACAAAGGCTGTAGTTGTTTGTTATAAAGATAATACTTGGCCATAAAAGTTGTAGTTCGTGGTTTCAATTGTAGCAGTTGGTCATAAAGGTCGTGATCACAAATTGTATCAATAGTATTTGGTCACAAAGTTTATAATTAGTTGTTACAAATGTAATTGTTAGCGATAAAGGTTGTAGTCATTGGCGGCAATAGCGATAGTTGGTCATAACGGCCAACTTTTATAGTTGGTGACAAAGTTCGTAGTTGATTTTTACAAAGGTAGTATTTGGCCATAAAAGTTGTAGTTGGTGGTTGCAATTATGATAATTGGTCATATACACCATAGTTAAAAGTTGTAACAGTAGTGGTCGATCAAAAATATTGTAGTTGGTTACTAAAAAGGCAGAAATTAGCAATAAAGGTTGTAGTCGGTAGGTGTAATAGTGATGGTTGGTCAAAGAGATCATAGTTGGAAACTACAATAATAGTAGTTGGCTACAAAGGTCATATGAGGGGTCATCGGAGACTGATGGCGAGGAGGGGGGGGCCGACCGCCGTTGGCCACTACTGGCCGATAAACGGTGGTCAACGACTACAAAACTTTGTGGTTATTCGCTGAGTCTTCAATAGAGGTGTTAGACACAACAAATGTATTTGGAATAGTAAACAGGGGTCAGTGGTGGCAAGCAATGAAGATCGGTTGTGGTAGATGGTAACCGACGATGGTGCTCGTTGGTGGTCGATGGTCGGTGACAATCAAATCTTATGATCTTCAGAACTTCATTGATCATCTGCAATATAAAATTTCCATTAATCCTTAGGGGAGAACTTGTTCTTTCAACTCTATTTCTGAAAAATACATCTTTATTCCTCCGGAATGGGTGATCACGCTCTAAAAACATTCAGTGACAATCAAACAGATAATTTTTTCTTCCATGCTTTAGAGTGAATGTTTTACACATGCCCATGCACTTGGGACATGCCAATTTTTTTATTGTGCTCCAACCAAATAGCATCACATAAGTAGGAAAATTACCGATCTTCCACATAAGAGCAGCGCCGAGGTAAAAATTTTATTTCGTTGCAATATCATAAGTCAACACTCTAGTTTTCTACAATACACGTAGCTCATCTATAAGAGGCTGTAAGTACACGTCAATTTTACTCTTTGAGCTGTGTATCGAGAATGATCAACGCTATAAATAAGAAAAACACAATCATACACATATCAGGGAGCAAATTATATGACGTGATAATAGCTGACCAACAAGAATAGGGTGTTGTAGCATGATTGTAAGGTGTGAACCCATCTGCACATAAGTCAAGCTTGATTCTGCGTGGTTCTGCTGCAAAATCTAGATATCTGTGGTCGAAGTGTTTCCAAGTTTTACCAGCTAAGGGATGAGTCTTTGTACTAGCAAAAACATATTTGATATTATGGCATGTCATGTGGGAAGTTTTGCGCATAGAAGCAATCTGTCATTGGAGTTGTGGAATAAGAATGTGAGGAAAATAAAAGAGACGTTTGTAAGGAATATTCTTCTGGTTTTTACTCTTTCTCCCCCTTGGTTTGAATCTATCAACACTACAAAATTTGCATTTTGTCTCTTTTTACATTCTCCATGTGATATAACATACAATTGTTGACACAACAATCTAACTTTTTAGATATTGACCCCAACTTTGCCACTAACTTTTTAATTGTGTACAAATTTTCTAGAACTAAATTACCAGTAGAGTTTTTTTTCCTTTAATAATGTTACTACCTAATTAAAGTATTCCCTCCCTTGACATGTTAAAATCAAATTTGATACTTCGGCATTCTTAGGGTGACTGTTAACTTTGCGTGTGAAATGCATCATTTTCACAATGATTGTTTGGCAGCATTTAATAGTTCATAGAATTGTCACGCTTTACTATTCAGTTCTTTGTCATCATCAGACAGACTCCCAACAAAATGAGCAATGCTCACATCATCAATCATTTGCTCATACATGTCTGAATCGTGAACAATTTGTGGGGCATAACTTAATTAGGCTCCTGCATGACCGTATTGAACATCTAGCTTAAAATCACCATGTAAAGTCCAATACTAATAATCAGGTTTATGTCTAAATTCACTTCCTCAGAAGTCAGATACATTTGATTCTTGTTCTTAGCATAGGGGCATCAAAACCTACCTTCTAATAGGTAAACCGACAACTGCGATGCCACATGCACGAACTCTTCAACACCAGCAATAAACTCGTTAGTTAATCCCATGCACGAACTCTTCAACATCAGCAATAAACTCGTTAGTTAATCATTTTCTTTCTATATATAATCTGTTATACATTCACTATATAGTGCTTCAAATATTCATCTGTACCATAAATGTAGCCATACACATCATACTTGAAACCTTAAACCACCTACACATCATACCCGAAACCCATAGTCTAAAAATCTAAAGTATCAAATTAAATTTTTCTATGCACATACATAACACAAATTTAGGTGTGATGTGCACTTACACATCGCACCTAAATTTTTTTATTTACATACATAACAAGATTTCTTATGTATTTACATATCTCACATCTAAAATTTCAACTCTAAATACATAACACAAATTTCTTATACATTTACATATCTCACTCATAAATTATCATATTTACATATAAATCACGAAATTTCTTATACATTCACGTATGTCGCACCTAAATTTCATATTCACATGCATACCACAATTTTCTTACGAATTTCATATTTACATGCATACCACAATTTTCTTACGCATTCACATATCTCACCCCTAAATTTCATATTTACATACATACCACAATTTTCTTATGCATTTACATTTCTCACTCCTAAAATTTATAATTACATACATAGCACAACATTTCTTATGCATTATATTTCACACCAAAATATCATTTTACATACATGTCACATTTTTCTTATTCATTTACATATCTCAAACCAAAATTTTCATACATAGCTCAAATTTCTTATGTATTTGCATTTCTCACCCCAAAATTTTCATAAATAGCGCAAATTTCTTATGTATTTAGATTTCTTACACCTAAACTTAGGGAAAACCATAAAATCC